GCCCAAGCTGAATGAGGATCACTTCAGGGTAGACATAAGGATAACCTTCTTTACAAGTCGAGTGCCAAGGGTTTGGAACAGGCTCCCTACAGAGGTGGTATAGTCATCCACCCTGGAAATCTTCAAAAAGCATCTTGACTCCCATCTTGCTGGGGTCATCTGATCCCTGCAGTCTTTCCTGCCCAAGTGCAGGGGGGCTGGACCCAATGATCTGCAAGGTCTCTTCCACCCCCTAACAACTATGAAACTATGCAACTTTTTGGATCATCATGCTCAATGAGTAGCCATCAATGGCTTAATGTCTAGCTGGGAGGAGGTATCAAGTGGGGTCCCCAGGGGTCTATTTTCAATCCAGAGTTGTTTAACAACTTCATTCATTATTTGGATGACAGGATTAAGTGTGCATTTAACAGTTGCAGACAACACCAAGTTGGGAGGAATTGCAGACACTCCAGAGGGCAAAACTAGGATCTAGATTGACCTTGATAGACTGGAAAAATGGTCTGCAGTCAATCAGATGAGATTCAACAAGGACAAGGGCAAAGTCCCGTATTTGGGACAGAATTATTGCATATACAAATACAGACCAGGGGATAACTGAGTACGCCACAGTACTGCAGAGAAGGTCCTGGGGGTTACAGTCTATAAGCTGAATATGAGCCAACAGTGTGCTCTTGTTGCAAAAAATACCAACAGCATACTGGGTTGCATCAACAAGATTGTCACTGGCAAATCATGGGAAGTAATTCTTCTGCTCTATTCAGCACTGCTAAGGCCTCACCTGGAGTACTGTGTCCAGTTTTGGGTTTCACAATTCAAGAAAGATGTGAACAGATTAGAAAGAGTCCAGCAGAAAGAAACAAAAACAATTCGGAAATTGGGAATCCAGATTTAGGAGAAAGGCTGAAAGAACTACGGCTATTTTGTTTGAAGAAGAAAAAATAGAGGCAGGGCAAGAATTTGATAAAACACCTGAAAGGTGATTTTAGAGAGGGTGGAGATGGGCTTTTCTCTGTGGCTATAGGGGACAGAACTAGGACCAGTGGCCTCAAGCTGCAACAGAGAAAATTTAGGTTGGAAATTAAGAACTTTCTGACTATGGGAATGGTCAAGCATTGGAACAGGCTACCTAAAAGAAGTCGTGGGATTCCTATCCTTGGACAGACACTTGGCTGGGATAGTTTAGTCAAGGACAATCCTACTTTGGATGGGACTGGACTAGATGACCTTGTGAGATCCCTTCCTTGTGAGGCCCTACTTTTGTATGATCCTATAATTGAGAGAGACAAGTGTAGTTTCCATGCCTGGTTTAACAGAAAAACAGATCATTGTAAATATGAAGGTACATGGCCTAAACCACATAAAATAAGCTCATCTAGCAATCAGAAATTGCCAGACAAACTGAGAAGGTAGTTAATCCTTC